CCCCCCCCCCCACCTCCACAGCCAACCTTTTTCACCCCATGCAGGGCCAACATGAGGGTCAAGACGATGTTCATGCAGGTTTAATTTCTGACAGATGTACAATAAAGCCCAAGTTATGATTTAACTCTTCCGGCGGCCGTACGCTCTTTGATTTAGCGCCCCGGGATGAGGGATGAGTTACAGCTGACGCGCACAGTCTGCCTGGGCTGGAACGGTAGGCAACCCGGTTCATAACTCAGCTGCCAAATGTGTAGTTAGTCAATCACTTGATCTGTAATCACAAATGCTGCCAGAAATTACATGAGTGATGAGCTGTAATAAAAGCACTTACTTTTCCTGCTCTGTCTCTTAAGTGTTATTGGCAGACCCCTCTCTCCCAGGAGGCCGCGGCTGTGAGACAAAATCCCGATATAAACTGCCTCATTGGTCCCTGCCTCTCTTTCTCTCTCTCTCTCTCTCTCTCTCTCTCGCTCGCTCTCTCTCACTTTCTCCAGCGCTCTCCCTCTCGCTGCTGTACTGTACACGCGTGGATATGGGAGTGACTACGCATGCAAATTTCTTTTTGACATTCCTCCCTCCATTCTGGGATTGCCTTGCTTCGGGATAAATGATCTTCACTCGAGTAAAGACAGCCATCCACGCCTCAATCATTTATAATCTGTAATGTCTGCAGAGGTGCAAGAAAATACAATTCACTGAGGAGAACGCTCTTTACACGCGCTCTGGCGCATGTCGTTGGCCGGTAAAATGGATCGCATTTCGCCAAACTTTTTTCCACCTATTCTTACAGTTCCTGCTAAATTCACGCTAAAAATTGTTGTTTTTGTTTCCGACCTCACTCGCTGGGTAGTTGTGGATTTTGAGAAGATCGGGTTGCTTTTGTCCAAGGTTGAGTTCTTTATTTAGGCCCAGAGTTTGAAGTGGCCACCATTTTGAACAGGTGTACTGAAGGAGAACTAAATTTAATGCAACACTCTTAGAAAACGTTGGTGGTGGCTGAGTGGATCAGTGGGTCGTCCTCCTGATTTGGGGCAGGGAGATCTGGGTTCAGATCCTGGTCAGGAAGGCCAGCCTGTCCACAGAAAATGGTTTGGTTGCATCAGGAAGGGTATCTGGTGTAAAAACTGTGCCCAAGATATCATGGCAATGATTTGCTTTGGCAAACCCTTCTCAGAAAATGTTGGTCATGAAATTATTATTTTTAAAAAAGAATCTATATTGATAATCTTGTAATCCATTTCTTGCTAGCTTCAACTCACCAGTGTGGGTAGTTTTTATCTTGTGTTGGACCAAAATCTTGACACAATCTGCTGGGTCTTACCCAATGTAGTGGATATAAATGACCCAGCCCTCGGTTAGTTATTTCACCCAATTTGGGTGGCTTCTGACCCAACATTTTTCCAATTGTTGTAGCACATCAAAGATTTGACGTTATGGCATAGCTCACCAAAGATTTCACGGCCATGACAACCACTCACCTCCACCCCCGCAGCCTATTGCACAATGTTCCACAAGACATTTTTATTGATATGGAACCCCTGTAATAATTACACATTCTTGTATGCACTATTGATCAGGCCTATTGATGAAATCATATTTTACAGGAGAGGTCTGATGATTTGATGCACGAGCCGCATAAATCTCCCCTCGCAAGCAGCAGCTGCGTCGGAACTCCAACTGTAAAGTGATTGATGCCCACACAGATAAACACGCACAAGCGCTTCTATCATTTCTATCTGTTGCTTGAACACATCAGTAATAGTCGCAAGTTAAAGACAGACAGAAATGTAATCATTTCCATATCTTGGGTCCATCCATACAAATGGATGATTGCAGGGAATGACAAGTGCTTTCCAGCCCAGTTCATATGATGTGGAGCTTGGCTGTTTATGAAGTCAGAGCTCCATCTTATCATGATTTGTATTGTCGGGCAAGGCTGAATCTGCATGGTGGTAATAGATTCGGATGTGGTTCAAATGCCCTGTAGTCAAGGCCAGACAGAAATGAATGTGGGATATTGTCCGCAACCTGCTCGATATGAAGCGTGGCTTTGATGTTTGTGTTGCAGGCCAGGGAGAGTAATGGACAGCTGGCTGGTCAAATGTGTGGAAATGATGAAACTTTCAGTGCCATGAAATAATATTCTCGCTTCAGGCAGAGTCCTTGAATTTGCAAAACTGCGACTTTTCAAAAGTCAAAAATAAATAAATAATCTAAAAGAGTTGACAAGACATGCATCTTTGATTTAAAAAAAAAAAAAAGTATTAAAAAGTTTTTGATCAGTGTAATATGTCCCAAAACCTTTTTTGGTGACATAAAACGGCAGGTAACATGTTTTGCTGCATTTTATTTTTGTAAATATTTAATTAGAAACTAATGTCTGCTTCCTTCTGATTCTATAGGGCCTTTTCTTTTTCATATAATTCCTCCAAAACAACTGGCAAAATTTCCTGAAGAAACACGCTAGGTTTTGGCTGCTCGCAGTTTCTCTTGAAATACGCACCAAAAGGAAACCAGCAGCAAATGTGTACGCATACTCGTGCCTTGTTGCAGTGCATTATCACCTTTTGATCTCACAATGGGAAAACATAGCATACACTTAGGAGAAAGAATTTATTACTGGCCCGATATGCTTCAGGTTAAAAAGCAGTAGATTAGACCGCGTTTCCATTTTGGCAAGCGTTTCAAGAGAATGTTTTCTTTTTGGGGTTTTCGGCTCCATTCAGAACCACTTGGGGGTACTTAAAAAAAAAAAAAGCCTATGGTGCACCACTGACGGCTGTTTTTCACATTTGAGTTGGCCAAAGGGACATGGGAAACATTCATGTTCAAGGGGCCTGCAAAACTCAAAAAGCCGGGATACAGAGTTAAATCGCTGGCCCGGTCAAGATTCCCCACCGTCCCCAGAGTGGCTACTTATGAAAAATGCTGGAAAGCCTGTCTGGCTTTAGCCTGCTTTGGTAAGGAAATTGATTGTAATCAGGAGTGATTTGTTTGATCAGAAAACCTGCTGGACCCAACCCAAAATGTGCCCAAAAATGTGGAGTTCGGATAGTGCTAAGAAATTAGCATTTATGATAGCACTTGCCATAAAGTTCCGTGACGGAATAAACCGTGTTGCGTTGTTGGTAATTTCATCTGGGCAACATCAATTTTCAGTATTCATCAGAATCGCTACAACCTCTTGGAAAATTTCCCCCTCTAAAACATTTTTTATACTGGATACAGTAGTTAGATTTTTGATTTTGAGTTTCCACTCTTCAATCATTATTTTATCTCCCCTATTTTCATGCTTAATTGAATGCTTGCTTGCGTCGTGCATGATTGATAGAGTATGGAATCTATTCATGCAGCGTGGCACATAACGAAAAGCAGACTGCTGACTTTCAACATATAACTACTTTTGTCGCGCAGCTGTTTGAAATGCTAATACGGAACAATACAGCCAGTGTGCTCCCCAGAGCTTGAGCGAGAAAGCAGAGCAAGAAAAAAAAAAAGAACGTTTTTAATCTGAACAGGAAGCCCACGCTGGCGATTCGCTGTGACACCGTGATTGATATGAGTGAGTAGTGTATTTACCGAGGCTGACGGGATAGGAGAAAGACAGTGTTTTCTTCCCATCCTTGCGCTTATCTCCCCCCATAAATCACTGACAATGGGATGCATACTAAATGCGAACGAGCAAATGTTGTATGGCTCGGAGTCAGGCAATTCCACTTTGACCTTTACATTTGGCATTGGTCACTGATGCTAAATGCACACCCTGACCTTCCTCGACCTTGGGCTACTCATATTTGAAGACCGTGAAGCATAACGCCGGCGCAGAAGGCATACAGTGTGCTTACAACGCAAAACGCTTCTTGTGCTGAACGCAAACCAATCGATCTGAGCCGTACTCGTAGATTCGGATCCGGCGCACCTCGTGTGATGTATTGTCATTAAATGTACCGAATAAATGAGGAGACAATTTCCTTTCTCCCCGTCTCATCAGTCTACGTCTTTATTGCTCTTATTCCATTATCCCCTGCCCAGCGGCGCTCGGCGATGCCCCGTGTCCTTGCTAACCTTTGACTCCAGCCACTGCTTGAAAGGTTCTGCACTTTGCCCTCTCCCATTTGACCTGTCTGAAATATACCTTTATAATTGCCCCTGTCACTATCAAACGCACATACGAGCGGGTGGAGGTTGAAGTCTGCCCGGTAACCTTTTGGCCTTGTGTTCATCCATTCTGCTTGGAGCCGGCACAACGGGCCTCCAACCCCCCCGCCACAATCCCCCCGACCCACAATCCCGTACTGTATTAGTCTGCATGTCAGTGTTATTGATGGCACTCTGGAAATATTTTATTGGTCAGTCACCACCTTTGACTGGGGCAATGCAAACACTAACTCCCCTAAAGCCTCCTATTGACGCGGATATATATATGATCAGATGGCTAATTGAAGTATAGATTTAGAATGGGTGGAGACAATGACCGTTTGGATTTGAACACCTCGGGGTCACCGTTGCTTTTTGCACTTTGCATGTGTGGGATCAATAGGCGAAAACACATATCGAGCGCCTTAAAATGGAAGCGAGACACTGATACATGGACGGGCGTTTTGTCTAAAAATACACGATGAAGGCATCAGAGCCGATCTCGTTTTTTGCAAAACAAAAGCGAAATTAAAATACACATAAAAATTGGTAAATTGTCTCGATCTATTCCCCCAGCATGTTCCCTCAATCTCCATACATGTGTTCATCAGAGGGAGCGTGGCCTGCATTGAAGCACCCGCAATTAAGATAAGACCAACCGCAGCTGGACAATTACCTGCCAACGAAGCTTTTCTGGAGGCACTTCAGAACATGGGGACCCCTGAGGATAGATGTACCCTTCGTTGAACAAGCGCTTCAAGAGGGCGAGAAGAGCAAGCAAGGGTTTTAAGGTACGAAGCATGAGAGAGTCGAGAGGTGCGGAGAATGATAGAAATTGAGAAAAAGACTTTGTGGGGTTTTACCCAAGAGAAGCTGTCTTTGCACGGGCATGTGGCGGAGCACCGGGGTGACCAGTTGTCTGTCCCCAAGCATAAGCCGCAGCCCAAAGCTTTGGAGACACGGCTGCAATGATTGCAAGGAGCCCATGAGATTATCCTGCGGCGGAGGTCATTATCACGGATGTTGAACGATGTCACGGCCTAAATTCTGAGAGATAAGCGTTTGCGTTAAGGTTGCGCAGCCGTTCCTGGGTTGAAGTCTGTCATTCACTCGTCATTTCTGAGAGAATGGTATTCTCAAGTTTTGTTTTTGTTTGTTTTTAACAGAGAAGAGAATGGCTTGTCTCGTGAGGTCATATACGTTTAAACCACAGGTGTCAAAGTCAAGGCCCGGGGGCCAGATCTGGCCTCCTACGTCATTTTATGTGGCCCGCGGGAGCAAATCATGTGTGTCAACTATCATGATTCATGCTGAAATCTGTACCGAAATGTCAAATTTTCATGGGTAATAAATAACGTTGAAATTTTGCACCGGCCCTCCGAGGGAAGCCGTAACTCCGAAGTGGCCCGCGACAAAAAATGAGTTTGACACCCCTGGTTTAAACGATGTATATTTGATGGACGCACAGAAATTTTATTCGGACAATAGCAATTTCAAACAATAGACTACACTTTATACTTCTACACTACAGTCTCCAAACTGGTTGGGTAGAACATTTTAACAAGAGTCCTGGTGTTACCCTGCTATGATATCTGATACCAAAATGCCCCGCAGGGCAGCCACAGCAAATCGACAATGGATTAATGGATCTGGTCTTGCTCATAAATCTCCTTGGGATTGGAAACCGTTTGAGGACAGTTAGCCTGTAGTGCTGTGCTTAATGTTACCGGCAGTTTGGGTTTCCCATCGTTCAAAGTAGCGACAGGCTAGTAAAGATGTAGTAGCATCTTATGGCCGCGTTAAATCAGCAGATGTCAGGAAAGCTGGATTGTACGGCTTGCTTTGCTTGTGAGCCATGACATCACGTATTTGTTTAGAAATGACTCGCTTCCCCACACATACGACTAACGTGAAGCAACCGGCCACCAAAAAAAGATGCCGGTCGGACGTTCCCCGATTCATCAGCGTCAGCGCACGCTTTCAAGCTCGTGCACTAAGGCCTTACCATAGATCACGCTGGTTAATAGTTTGCTGTTCCTGCAGGTGTGTCGGGAATAGCGGTAACCGCTTCCATTAGTGGCGAGAATGGGCCGACCGCCTTCCCCCCTTTCCCAGACGGCGCTGTCATTACCCATCCATTGTGAGACCTGGGAGGGATGTGTAAGTACGACAGACTTATGGCTACGTCAGAGTGGCAGGAAGGTCTCCGCTGGTTCGGCAGCGGTGGGGAGACGGCGGCGTGCACTCAACGCCAGATGGGGTGGTCGAGATCAAGGGGAATGGAGAAGCCCTCAGTACGCCATAGCACCACTCCTCGCGCGTACGTGAGTAGAGTGCAGGCTGGTTGACGGGGAGGGTGATTCGCTGCTATTTTTACAAGAAATGGGTTGATTTGTCTTAAGCCATTACCGTCTATTACAGCCGTGAGTCTTGGAGGAAAAGGTGGGAAACGGCAGACGCTGGCATTCTACCTAAAGAGAAATCAATGAAACAAATTAATCCTTCGCAGGCTGCGGTGACACAGTAATCCATCATTCAGGGGGCGCTTTTACGCACTGAATCAGTGAGTGAGGCAGGAGGATGGAGAGACTGGGGGTCGGGAAAGGCGGGTGGGAGGGGAGAGGGGCGGGGGTGCGCTTGGTGGTTGTGAAGGGGTGGGGTAAAGTGGGGCCGATGCCCTGCGGGACCAGGGCAGACATCCACACTCCAAAACATAGCCGTAACCGTGGGTGGTGGCAAGGAATCAAGGAGCTTTGAAGACTTTTTCTTTTTCCTTTTTAAACATCTTTCAGCTGCCTGTGGACACGGAGAGCTGGAGGCTGAGGCAGCGACACAAACAGAATCTGCTAATGGTGTCACGGCTATAGCTTAGACATTTGCCTGTACGCCTTTTCCCCCCGCCCCCGTTTGTCTGCCGCTCACTTGCGGCTCCAACTTCAAGCTGATGGCTGTCGGTGAGAATTTGTTTGCGGCGCCTCGTCGTTTATGTCCACTGGACGTGCGTGCAGGAAGCTAACCGTGAATGCCCGAAAACAAGCGCTGAGAAAACAAATGAGGAAGAAGTGGAAATCAAGACAGCCACATTTTGACCAAGCGTCGTGGTATTCATTTGATGCCACCGTACCGTTTGGAAGAGTAAACCTTGATCTGGCTTACGTGCCCACCACTTTCTCCCAGTGGCTGCATCAGCTATGAAAATAGTGTGACATCATACTGCAGGGCTGTCCTCAACAAGAGGAACAAGGGAGAGTAAATGAAGGATGACAATGGAGAACTCTTGTTTTCTTCCTTCTCTGTATTTTTTCTTTTACTTGCAAACATAAGACCGCGGTTCGTTTGAGTAACTCCACGTCCTTGTCACGCAGTTATGACGGCTCAACGTCAACCAATTCGGTGAACTACACTGTGCGGAGCCTTTAGGTGATGTTAGGATGCTCGCAAGTGTTCGTAAAGTACTAATCAGTTATTTGTTTTCCCTTCACAGCTTTTGGGAATGCAGGCGTGAAAAACTGAAAACCTGTGCTTGAGATCGACTGATGAACGGTAAGGAAAACCAAAAATCCCAAGAACACCCTTGTGCGCTACATCTTTTATTGCAAAGTGAAAGTCATTTCAAATATGGACTCGATGGCATTCCTGATGCGTAGCGATATCCAGATGTGACGGGGATCTTACGAGAAGACAAGGCCCAGAGAAAAAATAAATCGTCAAGCATCTATCAATTTAATAGAGACCCAACCCCTCGTACGCTGCAACCGTTGTTCGCCACATTAGATCTTAGATTCATCAGCAAGCCTTTGAAGAAACATTCCTTACCAGGCCAAGATCGGCGTAGCCTCCGATGACGCTCAGATATAAAATGAGAGCACAATTCAGACAGTGGAAAAAGAACAAATTCACATAAAGAGATTGAGGTTTTTATTTGGATTGCAGTGGCTTTTCGTACAACTATTGCGCCTTATTACAGATCCAGGTCTCAGCTTCTTTTACTGACACGCATCCAGATTGAACATTGTTGTTTTTATCGAGCCGTGTGTGGTGTGACTCGAACTTCGAGGAGAAGAGGGTTAACGTTTAGGTAGCCAGGGTCATACCGTAAGGAACGTTGACGACGACGGAAGTCATTATTTGCCACGTCACCGTATGGGATGTGCCACTTACCTTAACTAGCTTCCTCGTGCAGGATGACATTTATTATACCCTTAAACAGTTGCAGGTGTTTGCACGCTTTGGGATGGCATGTTAGAAAATCTGAGCGTATGACGGGAGGCAAGATGAGCAGAGGGAGGAGGAGGAGAAGGAAGCGAACGAGATGGGAAATAAAAGGGGGGGTTGACATTGGGTGAAGATGGGGCAGCAGACATGAGGAGGAAAAGGAGACAGAATGACCAGAGGAGGCCTGTGAGGAAAGGGGACGATAGAAAAATGTGGGGATATTGCAGCAGAGTGGATGCTGTGAGGGAGGCAGAGTGAGAAATGTTGCCGGAAATGCTCGAGCCAGCAGTGTGTGTAAAAACCACACTGCAACATTTCTCATCCTTGACATCACTGACAAGCTTTTCTCACAGACACACACACACACACACACACACACACACACACACACACACACACACACACACACATTCACATGGTGAGCTCGGTCGTAATATCCACTCGATCGTTTTGTTTTCTTCCCCTGTCTAAACAAGCGGGATGTTTAGGGGAAATTAAATTTTAGCTCATGTTGTAATTCTTAATTCCAAATGTATGTGTTTAAAGATTCCCACAGCACTCCCAATAAACGATGTTGTTCTAATGAGAACTTTACCCGGGCCGTGGAAGAGGCTCCGCGTAAAAGTGGGGGAGTGTAGTGCCCGGTGACACATCACGGATACGAGGCGAGCGGAGGAGGACGCGAGATTGTTGTGGAATGTTGCTCGGTTCTGGTCGGAACTCGGCCATCCCATTTGTCAGGGCTTGACCCCAACTCTGAGGTCAAAGGTCACGGGGAACATCTGAGAGAAGCTGATGACATGGAGAAATAGAGCAAGGGGGACAGAGAGAAAAGAAGTAAACACATACAAGGATGCTGTGAGAATGTTTTACCTTCATCGGTCTCACACATGATTCATATTTGTAACAATATCACATTGATTAAAAAACATTTCGGGTGTTACTTAAACTAGTGCGATGTACAATCTGAACCCAAGCATGCCCACAACCGTCCACCCTTATTACTCTTATTCATTTAGCAATGTTTTGGGGGATTATTTTGTTTGTTTTTTGCGGTTGTACCCTGCATTGTTGGAAACCCACGTTCAAATTTAAAAATCATAGTGCAAACAGCTGTTAGTCTATGTCAGAACAACCACAATAATAAACATATTTTGCAAGAACGACGTCTCTGACAGTGTCAGTCAAAACCGAGCCGTGTGTTCTTCATAAAATACCGACATTTGATATCTGGTGGGCGTATAAATACAGAGCCACTTCACCGTGCCGCTAGCTCACAGCCCGTAGCCATAAAGTCCATCTCGCCCCTGTGTCGGTCCTTGCACCACACTGACACATCCCGCCGTGCTTCAAAACACCGGACAGCCATGTTGCTCACCGCCTGTGAGCAGACACAACACACAGTCACAACTCAAGGGCGAGGTGAGCAGGTAGATGGAGCGTGGCTAGCCGAAAATGGGGACACACACACTCGCACACACCTCGTATATTGGGTTACTTTCGGACTCAACTGTGAAAGACTGGCGCGTTGCTTCAATACACCCTGTAAAATAAACACATTTTTAATTAAATGTTTGTTCTGCCAGCAGCATCCCACCTGATTAAGTCCACTAAAAAAAAAAGAAAAAAAAAAGAAAGAAATCAAACGGCCCCTTGTGTCGAGTTACATTTTTAAATTGTCATTCTTTGGCCAGACACATCAAACAGGTGTTATGAATAATTTATCTTAAGAGTTTCACATTGATAAGGTCACAATCTGCCAGCTTTGGACACTAAACGCAGGCAGCCCACCTTCACGTGGCTGTCTTTTACACGCGTGCCCTCACACACCTTTCCAAGGCGAAATACAAAATCACCCTGGAGGCCTTCGTCATCTTGGGTGACACAAGATGGAGGACAGTCATCGCTCTGTTTAAATGCTAATCTTACCAATTTGGGGAATTGCTGATGAAATCTTGACACACCGGTCGCCTTTTCTGGCGTGCTTATTTTGCATTGGTGGAAACCGAATGCCCAAGTAAAACTGAAGCATCAGCCACTTTATTAGGTACACTTGATCTAACGCGCAATCCAAAATTCATCCTTGGCAATCATCAAAAATAATCATGTCAGACTTTTCACAACGTATTAAATGAATCACACTGCATTGAGGAGCTGAGAGCTTTTTCTAATATTTTGGTTACTCTGTAAAAAGGTCTGAACACTAAAAAAAAAAAAAAAAACAATTAAAACAGCTAGATTCTCTTTGTCAATATATTAATGTTCTCGGTTCATTAGAGTGTGCTACTATTATTGGCACATGTATTAATATCGACACGTATTCGTATATATTTTCTGCAATTGCTTTATTTGTAATTGCCGACTGTGGTAAAAAAATAAATAAATAAATAAATAAGCAATTTCTCTGGGCCGTGAACAAGACTTGTCATCAGTCTGAGCTCCATCACACTCATGGTTGAGCTACACTACATTTGCAATTAAGCTCCTGCTGCGTGTTGGTTTTGGTGGGTAAATGAGAGGTTGGGGGGGGTGGGGGGGCAGCGTGTTGCACTTGTGATGTAGTTAGTAAGCAAAAATTTCAACAGCAAGGCCTGGTGATGAAGCGTGATCCGCATCGTAAAACAGAATCACTGATTCCGATGGATCTTTCAGGTTGTCATTCATTCCCAAACCATTTTTTCCGAAAATGAAATCAAATCATCGTCAGGAGGATTTTTCTTTTTAGATGTTCTCCCAACCAAGCTGATCTTGTTCCCTTCCCTGCCCTCTCATTCTCCCAAATAGCACCAATTATCCATTTTTTTTTCTCCTTCAATTTATGATGCTTATTTGTGGGCATGCATGGGACTAATCTGGACCTTTTTTTTTTTTTTTTGCTGAGCTATATTTCTACTGTGTGTTGTCGGCTAATGTGTGGATGGGATGAAAGGTAATCTGCGTGCAGAATTCCTAAAGCTCCCTTATCCTTGTTGAATTTCTTAAGAATTCCACCTTTGCCCTCCCGCTTCCCTTAAAATAAATTACTTGAAGGGCGAGATGCCTTCACGCCGCCCCCCCACCACCCCCGCATTTGTCTTTCCTTTTTTTCTGAATGGTTACTATAAACACAGTTAAACTTATTCTTACTACATAAATCCTTTCAAGTTCCTTTTTCATGTTCCGCTTCACTTTTACTACAATAGTCCAATGACGATTGTTGTGCACGTTGCTTGTCGATGATTCCAATTCCTTGATTTCCCCCGCTTGACATGTCGCTTTTGGTGTGAGTGGGACAAAGTTGGTGTTTCTCTGCGGTGTTTGCACAAACCGCTGTGACGTGCGCACTAATGGACGTGGCCATCTTCGTCTGGGAAGCAATTAGCACACATGGCTGTTAGAAATGAGGGTTAGTGAGCAATAAAGCCATTGGCCTTAGCGTTAACTTAAAGGTAACCTTAAACCTAATTGAGAGAGGCATTGTTATTATTGCCCTCAATTGCAGAGCCCAACCCCACCCATTTCTGTTACGGAGATGGCGATAATGATGCGATATAAAAATTAAAATAAAAAACTCATGCCTCTTGAGTCTAGACAAACACGTTTAATCGCATGAGATTCAAAAATCTATCACATAAAATGATTAGGTCATGATGGATGTATAATGGATTTATTTATTTTTTTGTGGGGGGGGTTACCACATAGTTGCACTCCTAATTGCCAATCCCGGTATTGTCGCTGCCTGTTAAATGCTGCATGTGGTGTTAAATGTCCGGACTGCTCTATTTCTGACCAGTGGTCATTTTCCATTCAGGCGATTGCATGATGCCTTTTGAAACTTGCTGACCCTGAGAGGAAGAAAAAGAGAAGGAAAGAGGCTGCAGGATAAAAGGCCATTTGAAATGACCCCCCCGCCCCCCACCATCCCCTTTCACGCCATAATGAGCAGTTTGAGGATGAGATTTAAGCAAAAAGAAGCCTGCACTGATATACACACACACGTCTTCTTTTCTGTAGACGACTTCTTCAAGCAATAACATATTTGTATTTCCTGAATTAAAAATATGTATATTTACTAATGTTTTATTTTTGTTTCATAAGCATTGAACAAGAGGTTAAAGTTTCACGTGTGTTTAAAAGGAACGTTTACATATTTACTGTTCGTTATAATGCATCGAATGAAAATTAGCCACGTTGCAAGTTTTAAAAGATAAATAAATGCAGGACACCAAACTAAATTGCAAAACATTAATTGTAGGAATTAACGTGACATCTATCATTCTCATCCACTAAAAATCTGGTGGCATTTATCAATTTGGGTTAAGTTCAGTTTCAATCAAATAGCCGTTTTAAAAAGATACCATCAAATGAATGTCATGACCAAATCATAAGTGGCTTTAGTCACCAAAACCGAAAACGTGGAAAAAGTGACATAAACGTAAAGCACAGCAACAAGTGAGCGTTTTGGCAAACTACTTGATGCTCTAAATGAGTTCCAATCATACTGAAAAATTTTGATACTCTGGCAGCTGTTAAAAAGTGACCAGGTCAACTGGATGTGGCCCTAATGAAGCCTGAGGTCCAAACACACACACACACACACACACACACACACACACACACACACACACACACACACACACTCACTTAGTGTGCACGTAGACTCACGCCAAAGTGCAAATTATTGTCCATCCATCCTCAAGCATTACATTACTGATTACTTTTAACACTAAGGTAATCAATTAAAAAATCCAGTAAATGTGATCGAGAAGAGGATTCGTGTTTAAATTTTTTTCTAAATGTAATCTTTGTGGTGGTGTTTCTCTGGGG